GTGACCTAATAGCAACAGTAATAGTAATAGTAATGGTGATAACAATGCTATTACCAGCAATATTATTTTTACTATTAAATATTATTGCTACTACTGTATCACTACTGTTATTACTATTAATATTGGTTGTTGAAGAAGCGAGGCATTGAAGTGATTGGTCGTGTCTCTGCCAGGCACCGCCTGTCATTCCCTGCGTCAGCATTGCGAGCACCAAGATAGACACTTGTCGCATTTTTTGTTGCAGACTTAGATTCGCTTAGATTCGTTGCCGCCGTGTTGTAGCAAGCTTGTGGTTGCAGCTTGGGCTAGTACATGCAAATGGTCCCTATGATTCTGCTCTAGTGCCTGGTGACCCGCTGTACTGTGTTACCATCTTTTGCTGCTGCTGCTGCTGCTGCTGCTGCTGCGGCATTGGCGGCCGTGCCGGAGACAGCGGCGGCCTCATTTTGCTTGTTGTTGTCCTTCTCATGAATCAACGTGCCCCATGTCATTGCTGTTCACGCAGTTTCCATGAACTGGCCTTGAGCTTTACGATCCGTGGTTTGCTGTACCCTGGCCATTGCACAGGAGAGTGGTCGGAGTGAGCCGCAAAGATGCAAGATTGATAAGAACACCGCCAATTTTGATGGCAGAATGGTATGGCATACAACAAGTATGATGTCAAAAAAGGGCAGGGTAGGGACAAGACAATTGATCACAGCTGCAGATCAGGCATCGCACGCCAGCGATGACGCCACGGACACCGCGCCAACCTCCTTCGACACAGCCGCCAGAGGTTCCTTGCATCACCGTGCATAGAACGAAGTTTGAAATTAATTGTCTTGCCCTTCGCATGCTGCAGTCAGGAGTTTAGAGCTAGGCAAGAAAGGGGACTGGGTTGTAGAACCACCTACAGTAGAGGGTGGGCTGTTCTGAGCCGGCGGCAAGCCTTTCTTGCTCTTGATTTAGGGCATGGGGTTTGAGGTTTAATTAATTAGGGTTTAGGTTCACTGGGCTGCAGAAAGGCGAACCTTGGAGGGCCTGGATAATCCCATAGTCTCTAACTGCCAATGAATTCTGAAATGTCCCCTAGATAACCCGTAAATGACCACTAACTAACCCCTGTTAGTATATCCCCAGAGAACCCCAATGTAACCCCTATATATCAATATATAATCCCATATAACCCTATATGCCCCCTATATAAGCCTTGTAAAGCTCCATAGAACCCCATTATAACACCTGTACAACCATTATTGGGGTTAGGGTTGTGTTCATGGTTCCTTTATGAATATCCCTATAGACCCCTTTATATATGTATATGTACACATAGAGTAGTTCCATTTCATTTTCCATCTTCTTTTCCATTTGCTGTTCAGAACCCTTTCTCCCAAACCCTAAGATCCCTAAACTTTAGCCCGCGGAAAGCCGCGACCAAGGTACGTGCCAAGCAGGAGGAACCTGTTCTCAGGCTATGGTGGGAAGAGCGAAGCGAGACGCTAATGGCTTAGCTGTAGCTTTAGCTCTGGAGGATATAGGGGTACGGTTTGGGGCTTACGGTTTAGTGTTTAGGGCTCACGATTTTAGGCCGTCAGATAGAGAAATATGTTGGGTATATGCGGTATACTACCCCAATACTGGAAAGGAACATGGAAAGTGACATGGACGCTGTGATTACAACTTGTTTTTTTGTCTAGGAATTTATGAGGCAGGGAAGTCGAAGTTCCCTTTTTGCATACCCCAAGTTGTAGCGGCCATACTATACTGAGGACCAAGAAGGGATCGCAATTTTGACCACCCCCAATCTGGATTGTTAGGGTTGCAGCGCCGCTGCAGTCTACAGATCATCTTCAATCTGTCGTCCACCTAAAGTAGATACAACACGGAATTCCCCAAGTACATTATGAGCTTCCCATATACTACCTACCCAAGGGCACCGTATGCCCGCTCTTCTGGTTCTGCGCCTTGGGTCTGTTAGGCCTCCAGTCAATCATAACCCGACAGGCGTGAGAACAGCAAGGATCGTCTCGTTGGGGCGCTGATCTACAACTTGAGAGACCGCCGCCGACAGGCAAGCGGAGGGATTCTGTCAGATCCAGGACGGAACCCTCAACCCAAAAAATAACCCTCAACCCTCAACCCTTGTGATATGAACCAGGGTTGCGCCCCTAAAGGCTTCCCCCAAATTGACCCCAACGTCACTCGCATGCAAATCAATATCGGCCCCCTCAAGGTTCCTGAAAGGATGCCAAACCCAATAAACCCATTACTACCATGACATACCTTGGGTACTGCCCCCACCCAGTAACACTCTATATTAGAGGTCCTATGAAGGGCTATATATAACCATATTATAGTTATTATCCAACTGTTACTGAGTGGGGGCAGTATCCACTACATACCCCATTTGAATATGGTAGCTTCCATTTCCTTTTCCAGTATCTATATATACGCAAGATAACCCTGGGCTGCAACCCTAATCGTCGCGTCGGGGGCCTGTTTCAGAGGTAGGGAATGGAAAAGAACATGGAAACCACTACATTACAATAGGGTACATATTGGGCTAATAGGGGTAATATAGGAAATCAAGAAAATGGAAACTACAATATGTGTGTTGATACGGAGGGGTGCGGGACATCAGTGGAAAGGGCTTTTGATAATCGCGCCGCCATCAGAAGGCATGATTACAGGGTCTAGTAGGCATCTTTCCCGGCTTGGTGCTTGAATTTAAGCATGGCCATTTGCAATTGCATCCCATGCTTGTAGTGAGTTTGTAATAACTGCTCCATGTTCTGCACGACCTTAAATGCGAACAAAAAGATTCAGGCAGAGCTTTTGTGCGCACAGTGTAGGCAGGCTTAGCTGGTCCCATTCAGAGGAATGCTCTGGAGTTGGAGAAGGGGTTTGAAGGAACGGTGCCTTGGTAGGAAAGCACTCAAGTTGAGCCAGGCTATGACCTATAGCAGCCTATAGATACCATTATAGACAACACTCGCGTTCTACAATATAGTCCCCCTTGAGTAGGTAGAATATGGGGTATATGGGGACCTTATTATACTTTACCCAAAGCCAGATTCCGTCTACTTAAGGGGGACTATACCCTAAGCCCTACCCCTAAATAGTAGATTCCATTTTCTTTTCCATTAATTATCCCTTTATAACCCCTATATTCCACCTACTTAAGGGGAACTATATCCCTACGTGCATAGCAGCGGCGGGGGTTGCAGGCCATGCTGACGGTGTACTTTGGCCGGTGGCAGAGCAGCTTACTCTCCAACCGTATCTCGGCTAATGGTAGTGTCCCTAAATTAGGGTTGAGGGGTTAGGGTTGACCCTATCCTTAAACCCTAGACCCTAAACCCTAGACGCTAAACCCTAAACCCTAAACAAATAGACCCCAAAATACTATAATCCTTATTCTTGGATTCCCAAAATAGTACCCCTAATTGTGGGAAGCCCCCAAATCTGAGGTTTGGAGTTTAGGGCTCTTGGGTCAGGTCCAGGCCCCCACCCAATTTTTATTCTTTTACTGTGCCCTTACAGGGACCTCAATAGAACTGCCACATTCCTTGCTGATCACTCTCAGTTGGGACGCATCTTGCGCAGGATTTGCTTTTGCCTCTATCCAGACCTGCTCTCTAATCTGCCGCAGGCCTATCTCGCACCAGCATTGAGGCGGCTGCCAACAACAACCTGGCAGATTTTCTTTCAGCAAGCCTTGTGGTCTCTCCCGTAGAAGAGAGCCTGTATCAAGGCAAGGGTGTAAAGCCCCTCTGATCTCGATTCTGACATGCCCTCGGCTGTTCAGACACACGTGGTCTGATCGCTGTCTGGAAGCACACGGGTCTCGTGAAGCAATAGGCTTCGCCTCGTCAGCATCGGAAAGTCTTTGATTTGGGCTACCGTGCTCGTCTCGACTTGCTTGCCATTTGCCTTTCAAGCAGTTTTCAAAGCCCTTGGCTTCATCTGCGTGTTTGCTAAGCTTAAAGAAATGTAGTTTTCATTTTGATCTACTTCACAGCGTTTCTTTGCTACTTGTGGTCTGGTGGGGAGCCGCACCCCACGCGGCGTTGAACTCCTTCGAAGAAGCCGAGTCAACTCGCAAGTGATCGGGGCCTGAAGAGAATGGAAAGCTTTTCGGGCCGGTGACTGACAGCTCAAGACATCCGGGCAGGCAGACACAGAAGAATACATTCATCGTACTAATGCTGGTAGTTTTGCTTTTCTTGTTGCTAACATTAGTACTATATCCTAGAAAATTGGCATCAGACAAGCATCAAATAATTTGCTTATTGCCTGGTCGTGCCTGGCGTAGGAGCTGTCGGTCATCGATGATGTTTGAAGGTCTAGCCCCTACAGTCAATTTTGAGAGTGTGCTCATGCACAAGAACGCCGTGCACAAGAACATTGTGCACGTGAACATGTCATCGCTTCGTCACGGGTCACGGGTGATCACCGTGAGATGTGATAGTTTCCCTAAGTAGGGGACCCCAAAGTAGACCCCAACATATTATAATCATTTTTATAGGACCCCTAAAAGGGTACCCCGGGAAACCCCTAAGCCCTAAGCCCTATATGAATCCTAACTACTCCTATATAACCCGTTTAAAGGGTACCCCTAATCTTGGGGAAGCTACCATGTAAAGAGATGCAACAAGTGCGTTCAGCACACCTGTCAGCCATGGTTGAAAACGCGATTCTGTAGTATATTGGGGTTATATTGGGGTTATATTGGGGTTATATTGGGATAATGGAAAAGAAAATGGAAACTACTATAGTATATTAGGGTTATATTGGGGTTATATTTAGGGTTCAGGATTTGGGGCTTGCACGTCCGTGTGAGTGCTGATCCATCAGTTGAAGGATGGCTGTGTTGGGGCCAAGAACAATAAAAGCAAGGTTAATGATAGTAGTAATACTAGTAGTAGTAGTAGTAGTAGTAGTAGTAGTAGTAGTAGTAGGAGTAGTAGTAGTAGTAGTAGGCTAGCGCTCCTCAGGGCGCCTGGGCCTTAAACTGGCCTGAACCCTCGGTAG